CGGTCATTAGACAGTTGGGTCATGCTCGAATCTTCATCGTCATGGATCTCAAAAATTCATTCAATCAAATGAGAATACATCCTGACGACAGGTGCAAGACAGCATTTTGGACACCACTAGGCCAAATGGAATGGCTCGGTGCGCCTTTCGGGTTGTTGAATGGTACATCCGCTTTGGCAAGATGGCTGTATTTGCATGTGATCGACCTGGAAGGCGTAGCAGTCTACGTTGATGATATCGTCATTCATGCAGACGATGAAACGACCCTACTGAAATACTTTGAGGCAATGATGAAACGACTCCATGAAATAGGAGCCTATATCAATGCCACTAAATGTAAATTTGGAGTTGATGAAATTGAGTTCCTTGGATTCAATATCAAAGGTGGACGACTGACCCCACCAAGAGAATCGATCAAAGCCATCAATGCAATTAAACTACCTCACGATACTACTACTATTCGTCGTTTCTTGGGTATGGTTGGATACTTCCGAAATTTCATTAAGGATTTCGCGAATATCGCTGGACCATTGTATGAACTATTGCAGAAAGAAGTTACTTTCAAAATGACAGATGAAAGGATATCCGCATTTCACCTGCTGCAAAAGGCGTTATCCGAGTGTCCCGGCCTGGCTAACCCACATCCATCGTGGCCATATGTCCTGGATACTGATGCTTCTACCACGGCGATTGGTGCTTGTCTTATACAGTTAGATGAGAATAACTGCCTACATCCAGTTCGATTCGGGTCTCGTCGTCTTACTCCTGCCGAAAGAAACTGGCCGATCTATGAGCTTGAAGGTTTCGCGGTAGTACATTTCATACTTGCATTCAGGCCGTACCTGATTGGTAGAACTTTCACTGTGAGATCTGATCACAAACCACTCCAGTGGTTGTGGAAAATCGACAAGCCGCATCTGGCCAGATGGTCAATGGCTTTGCAACAGTTTGATTTCAAGATTGTGTACAACCCTGGTACAGCGCAGGAACAGGTCGACATATTCACCAGAGATGTTGATTTCACTACGGCCGATGAGTATGTAGATCGACATCTCGGAATGGTAAATGTGGAAAAACCTGTGGAAGACCGAGCTGCACGACAACTTGAAAGACTAGTTGGTGATGAAGTAACTTCGATTCCAGTAAAAACAAGATCAAGCGTTGATACCACGGTTATTCCAAACCTCGTTGTGGACAACAATTTTCCGACAATCGAAGACTTTGTTGACGCAGCAAAAGAAGTTATCCCTGTTCCTGATT